TATATGTGATATCGATGTTTTACCATACTCTTCATCTACAAACCATTTCGCTCATATCTGAAGAAGATACATGTCCTTGAGTTGTTGAGAAGAATAATCTTTGTTTTTGACTAAATTCGCCGACATAAAATGTGTCAATAGTTCTATACATTTAATGATCATTTCTCTCTTTTTCATCCATCTCTGAATAATGACGTTATGTCACTTTCGATACATTTCTATGTTGTTAGTCCATTGCTTCCGTCCGCGGTGTATGTTTTCTCTCTCATGATTGATGTATAAAAACAGACGATGTTAATGAAATAAAGTTGATTCCCAAGAAAAGATAACATGCATCACTACATAAGGAAGCATAATGGGCAAAAAATCAGTTAGTGAGTACAAACGTGCTCAAGCAGTTGCTCTGTTTGATGCTGGATTTACAATTTCTGATGCTGCTCGACAACTTAATATTTCCTGGACTTGCATCAAAAATGCTGTTAAACGTTATCGTAAGCATGGCACGTTCAAAGACCTTTCACGAAAGGGTCGTCCATCAAGACTTACGCCAAGAACTGTTCGTCATCTCAAACGTTTAACAACTGGAACAAATCGAGCAAATGCCAATGTTATTACACAAAAATTAAATGACTCATTGACTCAATGTGTTTCTTCTAGAACTGTTCGACGTTATCTTCACAAAATGGGATATATTTTTACAAAAAAAATTAGTAAACCATATTTGAAAAAGATTCATAAAAGCAAAGAGGATTGCTTGATGTAAAAAATTTCAATCTTATACAATTGAAGATTGGCGTCGTGTCATATTCAGTGACGAATCAACATATTACGTTTTCAAACGTAAAAATAAGATGATGGTTTGGCGTGCTAAATCTGAAAAACTTGCTCCGGATTGCATTCACCAATTGACCACAGGAGATGGAGCAAAAGTAGGTATATGGGGAGCTATGTGTGGATATGGCAAAACATCAGCATTCGTTTATTCCGATAATATAGATTCAACAAAATATTGTGAAATTTTAAAGAATTACTTAATTCCATCAATTAAACGATTACCAAAAGGAAAGAAATATACATATCAATGTGATTTAGCCCCTTGGCATACGAGCAATATGATTAAAGACCAAGTTAAAAAACTGAAACTTAATATGTTCGAATGGCCTCCTAATAGCCCAGATATGAATGTTGTTGACGAATTGTGGAGCATCATTGACAAACGGTTAGCATTAACACCAATTAACTCCAAGGCTGAATTAGAAAAACGTTTGAAAGAAGAATGGAACAAAATATCAATTACATTATATCAAGCATTAGTAGATAGTATGCCTATACGTATTGAAAAATGTCTTAAAGCTAAAGGTGGTCATTTTTTGTGAGATTTTTTAATAAAATTTGCGAAATATTTTTCTTAGAATTTCAATTAAATTTGTGAAATACTTGATTAGATTTTTGATTAAACTTGTAAAATATTTTTTGTGAGATTTTTCATGAAATCGGTGAAACAAACAGAAAAAGATTAAGAAAACAAAAAAGTCCCTAAATTTCAAATTTTGATGTGCGACTGAAAAATGATCTCCTTCTGTTATTCGATACTTGTTTTTGACTTTTTATGTTAGACTTATAGAATATCGAATTTCTCTTAAGATGAGAACTTTCTCACGTCTATAGGTTCTACTATCATGTAATATAAGCTTCTTTGGAAATAAATGCGAAATACTGAAAGACACTTAAACCTGTTTTTGCATAGAAAAAAATTAGTTCAGTTATAAAAAAATTTATATACGCAGATAGAGTCTCGTTCTGTAATACATCATGTAGCTGGCCTCTTATACTCTCTATATCACCCTTTAATTCAAACTTATACTTGGTAATATGGAAAAAACAGTAAAAAAGAAATGAGAAAAAAATAGTAAAAAATTAATTTCGCTTAAACTTTTGTCCCCGACTGTATATATAGTGTATATGTATATGACATTTCATGAGATATATAAAGTCCCACACTTATTCATGGGACTTTTCATAAAGTGAACATTTTTTGGATCTTTGACATTGCTGTCAGAATGATCGGACTTCACCGCAAAGGATCGTTAACAATGGTGAATCCTTGATCACATTCGAAATAACAACAATTTAAAAATGATATTTTCTAGCAAATGTTCTCAATTTTGGAAAAAAAATGTTAGCTGTACATACGTAGTTGCTCGAGTTGTCGCAATATCTACTTCGATTTCCGTTTACTGCTAACTATCTCATTTTCTAGAGCTTCCTAAGCTCTATCGATTGGTATATAATCGAAAATGTTTTAAAAAGATAATAAGAGAACACGATTAGTCACAACATGGGTGAATACCATTTTACATGCATTATAGACAATTTATTGGGAAAAATTGTCATACTAAAAATTTTATTTTATAATGACATTTTTATGGCAACAAAATATTTGGTCAGTAAAATAGATTAAATGATCAGTAAAATAGATGAAATGGTCAGTAAGACAAATGACCAGTAAAAGGGACATAAATGATCAGTATAAAGATTAAATGATCAGTATTTGAATTATCAGTCCCTGCCCCACAGAATAGAAGCCAACTCCCGAAATCAGTACTGGCTGAGTTCCATGGATTCGGAATTCATAAAGAATCCATGAGGAATCTATGGAGAATCCATGAAAACCCATGGGAATCCAATTTGACAAAGCGAAACTGCGAATGGAGCCGTTATCAGCCACGTCGGATACGGCTTGGTTGATACGGCTCCGCGGCGTTTCCCACAGGGCACATCTTGGCATGTAGGTGCTTCGGAACAGCTTATCGTTTAAGATCATATGGATTCCCCATGAATTCCGAATCCATAGAATTCAGCCAGTACTGATTTCGGGAGCGGGCTTCTATTCTGTGGGGCGGCGACTGATAATTCAAATACTGATCATTTAATCTTTATACTGATCATTTATGTACTTTTTACTGGTGATTTATCTTACTGACCATTTCATCTATTTTACTGAGCATTTAATCTATTTTACTGGTGATTTAATCTATTTTATTGATCGCTTAAATCATAGCCCATTTTTATTACTCATATAAGAACTAGTGCAATTTAATGTGCTCTTTCTAATAGTATCGGATGGGAGCTCAAAAATCTATCTTAAGACAGTATTGAGGGTCACTTTTTGTCATCTAAATGCAGGGCTTCGATATTATAGTTATATATAGGCACCATTAAGTGATCTATGGTGCTGTACGACTACATCGATTTCACTTGAAATGGTCTTTAAACGTCTCAGCACACTTTTTTACCTACGTCTCACTACTTTTTAAGTGAAACTTCGGAGTGGGTCGATTTTGCTTCTTAGGCACCCCCGTTCTTTGCGTATTCGATACCGAAAGCTATGATTGGCCTTTGAAACCAAATATATCGAGAGTAGAACAGAACAATATTATTCTCTTTCCTTTCATCTCGATAATAATCACCTCCAATTTATTTTTTCTGCTTATTTGCCCATTAAAACGAAGGTAGTCGATCATATACAGATATAATAACTATGAAAATAAAACCACGCGGTTATAACAATAAAATATATATAAGCGTCAGTCAAGCATAAAGCGAATTTTATACTACCGTTAAGCCATTTTAATATTTCTCCATCACATATCATAAGAAACAGAATCAAGAGAAACTCGCCGATCAGTGAAATACAACAAATACCATAAACAAGTATGTGATCATTTCTTTTTATTATCAGAAAGAAAATTGAAGACTTTTACAAATTTCGAAGAAATAAATGAAAAAGATAAATTATTTAGAAGAATCTGACATGAATAACTTATGTTTTCGAAATAGGTACAAACATAATTATACATGTTTTATTGCTATTGACTATAAAAATTTTAGCAAATAAGAATAAGAACATCGTTTATATATCTTTCGAAGAAAGAAATTTTTATAAAATAAAGCTGTTAAATATGATTCTAATGATTCATTGCAAATCTAGTTTAAATTAAAATCTGTGCTTCAAAATTTAATTGAAGGCTACTATTGTTCTTTTTAGTTTAGTCGTATGTTCATTATTGAAATAAACATGGCTATTTCACGTAGGTGAAGTTATCACCAGATTCGAGTATTTCCAGCCCGGATTCGCTGAGGAACTTGTTCCAAGTAGAACTCAACGAGCTCTATCCATTGGTGTAATCAGATTTTCCATAACTCAAACCAGTCATCTTGAAGAACAAGTTTTTCAATTTTTACCCCCTGGAATTCAGGCACTATGAAAAGTATTTCCCGCCCCGATTCGCTCAGAAACTTGTTTCAACGTTGCTATTCTTGTTCCAAATAGAACACGATGAGTTCTATCGATTGGTGTAATCGAATTTTCCATAACTGATACCAGTCGCTTACAAAATCGATTTTCCAGTTTTTTCTGCGTGAGATCCAGGGACCCTACAAAGTATTTTCAGCCCTGATTCTTCCAGGGACTTGTTCCAAATACAACTCGATGAGCTCCCAACGGTATGCTCAAATTTTCCATAAGCCTAACTATAATTTTCTGGTTTTGTACAGCGCCATCTATGGTCCCACAAATTGTACTTTGGGTTGTGGAAAATCTGAGTACATCGTTGGATAGAGCTCGTCGAGCTCTACGTGGAAAAAGAAATGGAGATTTGGAACAAATGGCTGGGCGAATCCGGGCAGGAAATACTCGTATCTGGTGATAACTTCCCTCCGTAGAGTTGCAAACCTTCCGGTTGACAACATTGAACAAACAAGCTTTAATTGTAGAATAATGAATCTATTGAAAGTAAATGTATAATAATTTACTCTTAGTTATCGAATAGTAATTGTTTTTGGAGTAATCGTAGCACGATGTACTCTTAAATGGAGCTCTTCAACATTTTTCGTTTTCATATACCCTTATTCTTAGATATATCCTTGGGCTCATGAACACTTTTCCTAGGTCCGTTGATGAATGTACCCTATGACATAGATTAATAAACCGTTGAGACGACAATGTATATTAATCTTCTCTCATTTTTAGAATATTAAATCGTTTTAGCAAAAATATGGATTAATCTACCTTGGTTTATGAAATAATGAAGGCTTTCAGTGAAATCATAGCACAAAAAACCCTTAAGTAGGGATCATATACTCTTCTCATTTTCATATACCCTTACAATCACAAACTTTTCTGCTCATAAACCTTATAGCGGTATATGACATCGACACAAACCCTTCTAGAGTTTATGAAAGACTTTTTTAAGTGCAAGGGTTGATTGCTCTGCAGATTCTTTTTACAGTGGACGATTAGACCTGCTATGAAAAATTGTTAGGTTTGAAAAATACATCTTGAATGAATAAATAACAAGATTTCGAAATTTTGAGAAATCAATAACCGATTTGATTGCTTTGAATCCCAAACCTTGCGGTAGAATTTTATGTGAAAAACCTTATCTTTGTAAAATAGCGTTTCTGAGATCATAAGGCGTGCAATTGAATAGTAAACAGCAATAATTTGAACCTTGTTTTTGAATGCCTATGTGTTCCATTAACCGCTATTTTTTAACGAACTAAATGACCTGTGTCGCTCTTTTGTTATTCGTACTGTTGACCAAGTTAAGTTACTTAAGGTTTACGTTAAATAAGTCATAGTAAAGAAATTGCTCGCTACAGTCCCAGTGACATGTGCTAAAGCCATCTTTGTAAAACGAGCTCAGCATTACAAAAGAGAGTGCGAGATAGAAGTATTTCAAACAATTGTGACTACTACTTACTTGAAGTGATTCTTTTATTTATTTATAACCTTTAATTGCTTAATAATGATGAAATGGATTTGGAAAAAATCAGTATTTTCACTGAAATCCAGAATCGTCTTTATGAGCTGTTTTTTGTGAAGTGTGTACACAGTAAAATAAAATGTGTCGCATGTGTCACAAAATGCGATATAATGTACGACACATTCAAATGAGACAAGAGGTGCTCGTTGCGACACATTTTGCCCAGCGACGGCACGACACATGCGACACATTCTGAAAACATGGTTCGAATCTGCTATACGGCACATTTTGAATTTTTTTTCTACAAAACAAATTTTAAAATATATTCTAACTTAATTCCGTTTAGTTATTGCTATTCTGAAAACTTGAGCAGATAAGATCTTGAGATCTATCCGGTCTCGAGTTGGTGCGAAACCCATCAGACCGCTTCAGGGTAGTTCTCTCTTGATCATCGATCAAGATCGATATTTTCTTGAATAATAAATAATCGAGAAATAATCTAAAAAAAATAATTACTATGAAAATATATAAGTTTCGTATGTTCAATCACATTGTTTATATGTCACTGTATGTCCAAAATAAAATGGTGAATAACCAGACAGCAGACAGAATAAAACAAATATATATACGACACATTATAAGCACGACATATTTTCGTCATCAAGTCTACAACACTATAATTCATGACACATAAGTGCGACACATTTTATTTTAGTGTATAGGCAGAGTTTTCACATTTGAAATGTTAAATGTCAAAGTCTTCCATTTCTTTGAAGATAAATTCATCAAAAATCACGGTTTTCATTGGAAAAACAGTTGCTAAGAATCATCTCCTGCACGAATACAACACAATACAATACTGAAATTTCCTATCGAAGATTTATCATCATTAGCTCTATATCTACAGCAAAAAATTTCAGGCTAACGCCACTTTCCAATTGTGAAATACGGACATTGACTTTTACTCAGAATAGTCTGTTTTGTCTGATATTTGAGGTTTCTTAAAATATTCGATGGACAACAATTTGAGCTGAACATTTTTTTTCTTTATAAAACGTGTTATTGTTATATAAACACATAAAGAATTTCATGTTGATTGGCTGAGCCCTTCCTGAGATACAGAATTTGTAAAAAAAGGCAGCATCTTTAGAGTTCTGATTCACAGGGCTTTTGGTAAAAAATTAATAACAATTGAACGTTCAATATTGTTGAAAATTCCTAGCGACCAAAGTAGATAAACCATTTACCTTTAGAATCTATCATACATTGAGCGAATTCAATGTTCCAAGTTGACCAAAGAGTCGCTACTCAGAGAGATTGACTCATAACATGAAAAGTATATGAACCATGGTGACATTTTTTTCATGTTTGACAAAACGAAACAAGTCTAACGGTCATCTTTCATTATTGATTTAAAAAATGACACGATGGATCATAAACTATAGCAATTGTATCCGTCATAGGTGTGTGAATTTGGGCTCATGTGTATGTTATCAATCTTTTCATCAAAAGTAAGTGACTGATGAATTTTTCTGTATGCCTTTCGTTGTGTTGTAACTCAAGAAAATTTTCAATCTTGGGACGTTAACTTTCGTTCAAAGTCGTTTTAACTGAAAATCTATCATTTTAGCCATAATTGAAAGACTTTCATAGTATTTCTCTCAATTTTTTTTTTGTTTTTTTTATCGTAGTAAGATTTTATGTAGATATGGGTGATGGTACGAATCAAAAACAATTTAAACATCGAGTGTTTTCATTACGGACGTTGATCATTATAGGCATTGGATTATCAACTTTCGCAATTATCTTTTTTCAAGGTCAATGGTCAACAGGATTAGAATCATTTAAAATTCTTATCTTAATGAATCCTGAAAATAACTCTAGAACGAGTTTTATTGGAAATTCGAAACACTCCGATAAAATTTGTCAATGGTACTTTTTAAATTATACACCAAGTGCATGGGAAAATGTTTGGTTTAGAAATATCGAAAAATTTCAAAATAGTGTTTGTGAAATATTAGCAGACGCAACAAATTTAAATAAAACAGTATTGGCCGTTGAACGATTGATGGAATTACAAAACTTTGGAAGAACTCGTACCCAAAGCGATAAACAGCAGGCTGACGAGCTTCTGTCAAAAATGTTTTATCGACAAGTATGTATCGATCCACTAACAAAAGTGTCGTTTCAAGAAGCAGAAGTGTCACAAGTAATTGAATCACTAATTGGTTTTCTTCGAGATCCTTTATCGATATGTAGTCGTATTAAGTCATTACCTGACTCACTTTATAAAGGAGCAGGAGTTCAGTCAAAACGATTTATCTTATTATCGGTGGTAGCTCCGTTTTATATTCATTCATCACGACATAATCATAAGAACAGTTTAGAAATAAATGTTCAGTCAAACAAACGCAATTCAAGTTTACTTCCTTGGATGTATCAAAGATCGAAGTTGAATTTGTTAGACAGGAAACTTGATATAGATATGAGAAATGGGCAGAATATTTTGATTGATTTGGGAAGTTCCTATTTCCAACGTTGGGGTGGTGATTCCACTGCCAATGCAGGACAGTGGTTTTATGAAAATTACAAACGTTTTGGCGTTAAATTTGATCGTATCATCGCTTTTGAATATGCTCCATTAGATCCAAAAACTGCTTGGAATCAATTGCCTGACGATGTTGTTCCTGTTTATACTCTAATTAATGTTGGTGTTGAAACAGATGGAAAATTCAATCCTTGGGTAATGCTGAAAACAATAGCTAAGCCATATGACCATGTTGTTATCAAACTAGATATTGATAGACCATTAATTGAGAGTACTCTAATAAATCAACTCTGACATGATCCATCAATTAATTCATTAGTAGACGAACTACTCTTTGAGCATCATGTTACTGTGAAAGAAATGCGTCAACATTGGGGTCATCCACCGGGTACATTGAACACCTCATATGTTTTGTTTACGAAATTGCGACAACTTGGGATACGCATGCACTCATGGCCGTGAGACTGGTTTTTTGAACCGCAGAAATCAGATCTGCATATGAAACTCGACTCCAATCTTTGAGTTTGTGGGTCTACCAAGAAAATTTTGACATCATACAAATCTTTTTCATTTGATATTTTATTAGTCGAGATGATTACCATACACATGCAGTTAATAAAACATCCTTTACTCTCCGGGATCAATTTTCTTCAAACTTAACAAATGAAGTCTAGCAATAAATCTTTATTTGTTTGAAATATAGTAATAGAAACACTAATCTTCTTCATATTGACATCGAAGCAATCGCAATTTGCCAACAGTAAACAAATTTCATATAGTTCAACATCAGTACCTATCTTTTGACTTGAAGTAACATTCAAGAGTCCATCTAGTTGACAAAGAAGAGTCTTTTCCAAAATTTCCGGCGAACCATTCATCAGAAGAATTGAAAGCCCTCAGGGCAAATAAATCTCGATGGCTATGAAACAAACTTTTTAAACAATTCAAAACTCTTCAATACGTACTTCTCTCCAGAAGGTACTGAGGTTGCAAGAACTAAAACTTATCCCCTTATCGATCCCTTTCTTAACCATAATACATGTCATGCAACTGAAAATTTCGTTGCGGAAACTATACTCTACTTAGAATGCCTATTTTCTTTTCGTTTTCTCTTATATCCTTCTGCTCAAGCAAAAAATACCAACACTCTCATAAGACTCTTGAAAATGTATGTTTTTTTTACTAGGACTCTTTTTATAAAATCTGGGAAAAACGTCAAGTATTATTTTTCATCGGAAGTTTAGCAAGTTATTTATATCAATTTAACATAAATGCAGCAAAAACTCTCGAATGTCAACGTTCAAGAGAAGATTTTGAAAGGGCTTACTATACTGAAGTGTTTAGTATTCGGAAGCCTGCATTTATTTTGACAGAAAAGTATTTCTATTGTCTGCATGGAGGCCAACAAAAACAGACACATGCCTCTTATCCTTTTGTTCTTAAAATCAGGCGTGGAACTTTGTATCACAAATAATCTTCAATGGTGCTTTGTTTTGACATTATATTCTCGACATAAGGATCTCTTTTCTTCTGATGTGTGTACGATAGTGCGTATGGTTAGAAATAGAACAGAAAAAAACCATTCACTTAACGGACCTCGTAGTAGTTCACGAGAGTGAAAAAAGCGTTCGCAATGCACTACAAGCAAAAGTTCAATAAGAAGTAGTCGATTTGAAGCAAAACTCACTCTGAACGAACTAAGAATGTTCAGTGTAACCAGATATTTACATTACAGAGAGGTTTAAAATGAAAGGTTTTAATATAGAGTAAATATTGATAAATTGAAAAATGGTGATTTCTTAAAAAATAAGCAACTCGCAAAATATGAATACTAAGAAAAAAAGCTGTCAGAGCAATCCATTCGGGATTAAAATGTGAAACATGATGTAGCTGTTTTTACTAGTCACACGAATATGGTTTTCTTCGATATACCTTGGACTCCATTTATTCATCATTTTGTACTTAATCCTCTAGAACTGCAATAAGAAAACAATTGATATGTTTTTATGAGATTCTAGTGACATATAATCGTAAATTGTGTATCCAAAGATCTGTCACGGTTTCTGATGATCTTTGAAGCTCCTCTGCCACAGACTGTGATGGGTATAGGGTTTCTCTCTCACGGTCTGTAATGGATATGGATTTTCTCTGTCACGATTTGGGGGGAGGGGGTGGAAATTTCTACCCTATATACTTCAACACTCCTTTCAGATCGTGTTTCACAAAAGTCTGATTCCCATATATATTATTTTGAATGAATCTGGAAGTCAAGACTGTTGCTCACAGTATCCAGTCAAGCGAGGCATGATGTTTAGTAACTACTACATCTGATGCAGAAAAGCAAACCGTTCAAACTTAGCTAAAATGTTTGAAACTGAGAAAAACACAAGCAAATCATGATAAAATAAGGAGGTTTGTGTTGATAACCTCTCCATGATTGTAACAGGTTTGATTGTTCCTAAATATCCGCAATATTCATTCTTCGAATAGTTATGTAATACATCAGTTTTACATGCAATCTTTGAAACTATGCTTCGCTGCAGTTCTTTGCTTGCAATATCTTCATCTTTTAAGATAAAACTCTAATATTAAAGAAAAAGTGAGTAGGTAGGTGGACAGTCTTGATGGTCTGTTTAGAGCTTTGATGAAAGATAGCTGATTCTTATATGATGTGTTTTGAAATTCAGATTAATATCTATACTGAGATAGATCATAAAAAATCTATTTAAAAAATGTATTTCTGGTGATATTTGACACTGACTGAGAACTTGTGTACAACTTAAAATTAAGTCATTTGGAGAAGAAAATATTAAAAAAATTAAAAAATGCAGATAAATACATTCGTCTCTCGTTACTTTCATCTTATTTATTTCCCTCTTTTCAAAATGCTTTAGTGAGAGTGGAGTATCAGTCGATGAAAATATTTCGAAAACGAGTCAATAGCCTTATGTACATTGATATTATTTTGATGTGTAAAACATTACAAGACACTGTATTCATATTTCCGATGGAAGTACCTTTTGCAAACAATTTCATAGTGATAAGTGCAATAACGTGTTTCAGTATAGTTTCATAATACTGTCAAGAGACAAAACTTCATTACCGAAAAGTAGTTAAGAATTTGAAAACACAAATCCTTATGCAACATAGCTTACCTAAGTGTCCTGCTCTAATCTGCTATTTTCTTGACGCATGTTTATATCTAAAAGCGCCTGCATGGATACCCATATCCCGTTAGTTTATGAATAAGCTAATCGACTCTCGATGAGCGTTACTTGCAGATAGTAGGGAATACAACTAGATTTTATTTTTGTAGTTGTGTGTCATGCACTTATCAAAAACACGCAATGAAGGATTAACGATGAAGCTAAGCAATGTAAAAAAAGTACTTTAGTATATACCAATCTGTAGTAGTTGACATTAGAAGCAAACGGAGTACTACGTTACTAATTGTTATGATATGTCATCTATAGCATTCTATATGTTTCACACTTTCTTTCTTCTTCGATTCTTTCCTTTCTATTTTTCTTTAATGCTATATGTATGTTGCATATGAGTTCTTGGATCTAGTTGACATTACACAATCAGCTTTATTTATTTTGTTTCTCTGTAGATTTCGTTAGAAAATTACTAAGACAAGTTGTTTGATTTTTATTGGGTTCACATTTCTAGTTATTCATTAGATAATAAAAGACTGTAAACATTGTTCATTAGATGATAGAGAGCTATAATCAACTATATTTATTCTTTTTGTGTAAAAGCATATGTTGGTGATTATTATTATATGACTCAAATGTTTATGTCTAATTATCGTTGATCCAGAATCGATTCTGAATAGTTTATTGATAATTTGGTATTTGTTAAATATTTGAATTTTTTTCGATAAGGATACATGGGAATATTGAATGATTGGTTATATCTCTAGTATTAGCGAATTCATTGTTACATTTTGAGTTGAACTATTGGTAATATTTGCAATATTAGTTGATTTGTTTTTCGATTGATTGAGTAATAATGGGGATATTTACGAATTGTGGATTATCTATTCAATATATTTATTGCCAGGAAGTTTATCAATATAAGATTATACTTTAGAACTGAAAATATTCATTTTTCTGGAAGGAGATTCATACGACAAACAAAATGTATATAATTAAAAACAAAAAGATATACAATTGGTTTCTTGATTAGATGTTATATAGCAGCGAACATCAATTGATCAGTTATTAAGATATGAACAACAATTAATAAAATTCTGATATTTACTGAATAATAGTTGTCAGAGACGAAAATTATCTACGTGCAAACATTTAAAAATAGTGTAAAAACAATCATGAAAACTCGGACAATTATTTAGAATTGCTATAATTACAAAGCTGAAGAGTCAGTCCATGTAAGCCACGACCGAAGTTGCTCAATCGATATCGCCAGATTTTGCTCAACTTTAGATATGTTGTAGAGGGAAGAGTTTTATGAATTTTGGCGCAAGCCGATTCCAAAAATATTAATCCCTCGGGTTTTTATGAGCATTTTACGAAAAGACCCAAAAAAAATGACCCTATATACAAACGGGGGTGCTAATGCAGCGATATCTCATGAATGACTCAACCAAATGAGCTGAAATTTTCTATTGCCATACATCTCAGTGAATTCTATTTACCATAAAAGTTTTGCTTTAAAATATTGAGCCATTGGGATTTTATGAGGCACTCAATATATGAAAAAAAATATCCATTTTCGGTAACTTTGGCGCTTCATAAGTTTTCATAGGAATGATATATGACTCTGAAATTTTTACTTTTAATAGAACACTGAGAGATGTGTCTCTCCTGAAAATTTTAGCTATCCATACCGTTCTATTTTCTCAGGACAGTCCCGTGAAAAACGAAATTTTGATAAATATTGGAATTTTCAGGATAGGCTTTCTTCCAAGAAATGGATTGCCTGGGACGTTGGTTATTAGAACTTTGAAGTACTCTCTTTGGGCTACAATCCTGTAAAAAAATTAGTGTGGGATCTCCAAGAACGGGCCCAGGGTACTTTTTGCAAAACAGGAAAAAATCAGCCTTTTCTATGGGAAATCTACTCGAGTGCACTTGGAAATTACTCGCAGTATCCTTTTAAATAAAATAAATTTTATCTGGTAAAAATCAGCATTCAATTCTCTATTACTCTGTATCGAAATATCCTTACAAAGCCAAAACAAATTTTTTCGAAAAATTCCCCTATGGGCGGGGGAGGGGGTAGAGGGCCTATGAGAATAACATGTCACAGGAAGAGGCCTGGAGTGTGTG